TATGATAAAGTAATAAGTTACTATTATTATCAAAATATTGTCATGAATTATAGTTATTTTTTTATTTATATTATAATATTTAATATTTGGCTAAACTGCAGCTCTCACGGATTTTTTTTATAAATTTATGATAATTGAAAATTGTTGAATATAAATTATGATAAAGTAATAAGTTACTATATTATTATCGAAATATTGTTATAAATAATAGTTATTTTTATATTTGTTATAATATTTAATATTTGTGGCTAAATTGCAGCTTTCATGGATTCTTTTAAGAATTTATGATAATTGAATATTGTTGAATATAAATTATGATAAAATAATGGTAATGATATTTATCACCTCATATTCATATTATAGATGTTACTATTATTATTAATATTATTAGTGATTCAATAGATAGTAAATCATGCGAAGGAGTGTTAAATCGAACACGTCACGTGGATTATGCAAGATGACGGCGCTATTTCTTCATAAACTACGCATATTTACGACACAAGAAATTGCAACGTACTTTAATGATAGAAGCAAAAATGTAACTATAGATCTCGTTGAAGTTTGCAGTGTACTTGAAGCGAAAAATAGAAATTTAATAATACCAAACAGACCTACAGAAATGGTCATAAATGGTAATTTATGTACACATCAAATTATTAAATTGTTACAGAGTGTTAACCGATACGATACACAACGGCAGATATGTAACACACAAAAATGATCCATAAAATGCAAATAGGTTCAAATTATGTATACATAAAATAATGTGCTCAAAATATTTAATGTTATAAAAAAAATTGCGTGTAATGGAATTTGTCGTTTTTTAAACAAATTTAATATAAAAACAATAGTGTAATTTTCAAAAAAAATGTACATACATATATACATATATATAAATTTACATTTATACATATATGTATAAGCTTTTATGAAATGTAATAAATAAAAATTTAATTTAATCTAAATATATTCTAAATTTCTTAATATGTTTACATAAAAAATATCAATTATAAATATAGTATTAGAAGTATTTAAAAAATTTGGAAATAAAAAATCTATATCTTATATACATTATATTATACAATGATATAAAATAAATCACCATTACGAGCAATTAATTTTGCAATAAATAAATAATAAGTAAATTATAAATTCTGCTCATGCTGTGGTTGCGTCGTTTGAGGTCTCCTTTCTTCTCTTGATCGTTCCTTGTTGCTTCTTAATGATATTCACGAGACACTTTCGAAAATACTAATATCAATTGTTAATTACAATCACGCGCGCACTAATTAAAATACCACTTTTTATACGGCACTCTTGACGTTAATCACATCTTATTATAATGTGATAGGAGAAAAATGCAAAAATTGCGATATCGATAACTCAAGAATTATGCGACGAAATTCACGCATCACTAATCGCAAGACTAACTTTGTTTACTAAAAATAGTATAAGTTTGCATTTAAATGCAACTTTACTATCTTGCGTTATATTAATGAATAAATATAAGAGCCAAGATTGAAGATAAATAATGTAAAGAATGTGATATCGCAAATATATGATCGTCTTGTCGTTGATTATTCATACAATTTCAATCGAACAAATCACGTAAAAAATACCCGTTTTAACAGACTAAAATTAAATAATATACGCATCGATTTTTTCCTACATTGGCAAAGTATTAAAATGTGATTATGATCCATAGCTAAAATTTAAGCATGATAACTAAATTTCAGGTTGCAATAGAGGGATAGCTAAAATTTAGCTTTAGGAGTTAATTTTGGAAAATTCAATTGATCAGATTTCTTTATATTCATCGCGAAATGCGCGCACAATCTCATGCGATAATACGATAATTAGCAATTACTGACCTATATAATTAATTTTCGCAATTATCATCTCTTAATCAGCAATTAACTCGATTCGTGGAGTATCAAAATAATCAATTATTAACAAAAATCTGAAATATAAAACAAATCGAGTCTATATCATACGGCGCATTAAATTAGTACAGTCGTGCTATTTTAATACTTGTCTGCGTAGTAAGAATTCAGCATCGAGACTGCTAAAACATGTATGTTGTTGTTCAATCAAAATCTTTCGTGAATAGTCAACAAATTAATGACACATTTTTGGATATTACATATTTATCTTTAATTTTAACTCTTATTTATTCGCTTACATAATGTAACACGAGACAGAAAAGTTATCTTAAAATGCAAGAGAGTATGTTATCTGTTAGAAAGATAGTATCGCGATAGCTACATAATTTTTTCGCGTTGTTCTCTCGTCACAACACAATAAAGTATCTATCGCGATTAACGTCAAGAGTGTCATGTAAAGTATTGTGCAATTATCGTTATTCTCCGACGATTAGTGTGCACACAATCATAATTAATCATATTTTAATGTCTTGCAAATAAAGAAGCAAGAGACGAACAAGAGAAAAAAAGGAGTCCGGAAATACGTCAAGCGACGACGGAGCAACCATGGGATAAGCAGAATTTCATTTATTTATTATTTATTATACTTATCAAATTATAATTGCTCGTTTATTTCTACGATTAGTGATTTATTTTGTTTGTTATATAATATAATACATATAGAGAATATGCCAGTTTTTATGTAAAAATTATTTAAATATTTAAAACAAAAAAATGGATTTTTATTTATCATATTTGATGAAAGTTTACATCTAAATTCTTTTTTTATTGATTAGCTTTAAAAGTTTAAATAAAAAATTCTATTGCGCGCAACAATGTTTTTTTTTTTTTCAAATGTTAATTACTTGGGGCACTATTTTATATACATAATTTGAATGTATTTGTATCTTACAGATCAACGCTGTATACTACTACAACTCCGTCGCTGCGCGCCATATTGGTGAGTTTTGATTTTTTATACACATATCATTTATATATGGAAATATATAAAATTTTTTCTCCAAACTTCAACGAGTCAACTACTGATCATTATTTATTTGGAACACATTAGTGTAGGTCATGGTCTCAGATTGTAAAAGGGAATATTTAAATTTTTACTATCGTGATTATATAAATATATTACATTTATATAAATTTTTTATATAAATATATTACACTTACATTACGATAATTATTTTACGAAAAATAAATTTCGAAATGTATTATATTTTACTTTTTGATATAATAAAATTCTGCGTTTGCTCAACAAACCATAAAATTGCGAAATTGACATCGATTCTATTTCAGACAGCTATATGCATCAAGCAATTGAAACGTGAGAAATATTTTGCAGCAAGATGTTTATAAGACCGCAAAACGTGCACTTTTAGCAAAACATCGAACATAGGACGTCTTTAAAATTTTTGCACACCCATCTTGTCTCGAATTTGTTGTTAAAAATTCTCGACAAATGCGTTAATAATATTATAATAATAATATAATAATAATATAAACAAAAATACTTCAATAGTATTAATAAATTTCTAAGAATAATACTCTTAATTAAGTGAGCAATTCGTTTTATTAAATAATCTTTTAAAAGCTTTTAAATATTTCTTACTATTAAAAATAGTAAGCTGTAAAATGTAAATACTAAATAAGCACAATAAAAAGTAGGTACTTTTTACACTTGTGCATATAAAATAATTGCATTCTAGTTTAGAGATGCACACACACAAAAATTTGTTAGCAAATTAAATTAAAACTACTTTATATAAATGTATATGTATATTGTAAAAATTTTTATTTACTTACCCAAAACAGTTTGTTACGAAAGATCGACTTTAACTTTTCATCATGACTATAGTTTAACAAAAATAGTTTTTAATCATCGTATTTATCTCGACTAAATAGTTTTTGTACGGCAGTTGTACAAGATAAAAAAATATGCAAAATATATATGATGGAAGGTTTATGGCAAAATAAACTGATGAAACTCACCAATGACTCTATCCTCCTTCTTATACACGACAGTAAATTTACCGGCATAACACCTGCGCGTTTTTCATAAAAATGCTAACGCCAGCTAGACGGTCATAATTTTTAATAAAATCTGACAGAATTTCAAATAATTTGTTCCGAAGGAAGATCATGAAACACCTTATATATATCGCTGATAAATATAAGTAGTGGCCCAACAAAAATTAATTTACCGTATAATATGACATAAAACAAGAGCAAATAAGCTAGTTTACGCTCCACATTATTAGAACTGTAAAGCGATACAAAATACTATAAAAAGTGCATTTCGAAAAAACGTTTAATTTACGTACAAATAAATTAAATAAATTTAAACATTTATAAATACGAAAATTAAGTTAGTGTAAAATAACACCTATATATTATTTTATTGATTATTTGCATTAATATAAAATGATATTCCTACAACACAAAGAATTTCGTCGGGACTCTCGCACGAATGTCACGCGCTCGTTGACATCCGACTAATCCTACGCACTCCCATGTATTGAAGAAAAGAATATATAATCGCAGAAATCTGCATCGTCGGATATTTTTCTCGCACAGCCAGGGTGGATCCAAGGTCTGACCTCCCTTCGAGAATCGCGCGGAAGGTTTCGATGAAACGCGAGGGCTCTTAGGGGGAGAAACGCGCGTGAAGGAACGTGCACGCGTCGCGCGGGTGTGCTAGAGCGAGAGGCTCTCTCGAGCGAGGGAGAGAGAGAGAGGATCGTGGAAAGAGAGAGACGGCCGCAAAATGTGCAGTCGGTGTGAGCGAACCGAGAGAGGCGCTATGTGACGACTGACCCAGTTACGCGGCGGAGGTAATGACCGATACTACGCTACCTAACCCTCCTTCTCTTTCTCTTCTCCTACTCCCTTCCACCTCCAGCCGGGAGTTCCGATCCCTCCTTGCGCCACGGTGGTTCTCGACGTGCGTATATGCATTACGTGTATTATACACATGTATCTATACGCGTACACGACGAGAGGAGAAAGACGGACGTTGCATGTACGGTATGTGGGAGCGATATAGGGATGTGATGTGTAGAGACTCACCAGAGGCGCAATAGGTTGTAAGCTCCACGGTGGTTGAATTCCTTCGAAGGGTGAAAGGGTCCTTGGCGGATGACGTTGCTGCTCGGAGCTGCGAACGTCCGGGTTAAGGCCAGCTAAAAGAAAAAATGAGAATAGTCAGTTATAACAAGGCATTCAATCGTTATTTCATGCCTCATTTTTATATTTTTATTGTCTGTACAAAGATAAGATGACGCCAAAGTTTCTTCTAGATAATCTTCTAGAGAACACTGAAAATGTGTAATATTCTAATATTTTTTAAAAATAATTAAATAATGATAATAATTATTAATATTATTTTCTTGTTTTTTTTAAATATTGAAATATTATAATATTACACATATTCAGTGTTTGCTGTTATCTAAATAAAATTATATAGATAATCATTTATATTTTTCTTATCTGTACAAAGATAAGATGGCGCCAAAGTTTCTTCTAGATGGTCCATGTAATTTTATTTAGATAACAACAAACACTGAAAATGTGTAATATTCTAATATTTTTTAAAAATAATTAAATAATGATAATAATTATTAATATTATTTTCTTGTTTTTTTTAAATATTGAAATATTATAATATTACACATATTCAGTGTTTGCTGTTATCTAAATAAAATTATATAGATGATCATCTGGATGAATATAATATATGATTTATAAGATGAATTTACATATTTTTATCTCATCTTTATCTAGCCAATTTTAAAATCATCTAAGCACAACACTGCACATATAATTCACAAAGCCATCCAAGACCAGATAAAAAAGTCTATGATAATAAGAAAAATTTTGTTTCCATCCATAAAATACTGTTCTACCATAATATTTCTCTAGGTATGAATAATATTTAAAATAAAACTTTCTATCATCAAACAAGTATAAATAATATTCTGTTCAACGTCCTGCTAAAAAATATCGGAAGAATATATTTCATCATCCTTGATATTTATATAAGAGACTATAAATCATACACATACGCGTAAAAAAATTATTCGTAAAAAAGGAAAATCTCAACTATTTCTGAGGTCGATTATACATACTATGAGTTTCTATTATTAAAGGCATAAAAAGCCGATGTGTTCTCTATCGGGACGCGTAATGAGTGCAAAGCTCGGAGCTTTCAACGAGTTCACATGAAGGGATCCTTGACCAACGCAAAGGGTCCTCTTCTCGTGCACGATGTGCACGCTCTACTTGCGATTACTCCGATTGACGGAGATAGAGAGAGAGAGAGAGAGCTTCTTCGTGCGAAACCCCGATGGTGGAGAGCGACGATGCGGACGACGAAGATCGTCGATGATGGAGAGAGAGCGGAGTCCTTTTTCACGATCACCTCGCGATCGCGAGATCTTTTTTTCTCCTGAATTTCCGCGTGCGAGTTTATAATCGTTGCGTTGCGCAACGCGAGATATCGCATTAACTATCAATTGCGCGATATATCGTGACTGTTAATGTAGTCGTAAACATTATACATATTGAAAATGAGTATTTGCCACATTGTTCAAAGAATGACTATTAAATATGCATGAGGGACTAGCACATTACTGCATTGTGACGTCTAATTATTAGCTACCGAGTTTTGCTACCAGTCTGACGAGCCTGTAGTTTCTCGATAATTGTTGTCCAAATGAGAATTTCGCACAACTACGGCCCCAATGTGTCTTGTGCGTGCGTATGTGTAGTTTATACAAATTTATTATTATACGCAAAGCATCATTTTTATCATGCAAAAACATCATTTTTATTAAAGTATTTATTTCATAATTTTCTAATATATTAAATAATATATTAAATATATATTAAATATAATATATTTAATATATTAAATATATTTAGTATATTATATATATTTAATATATGTATTAAATGTAATAAAAATATATTAAATAATTTTTAAATATATTATAATATTGTGTAGTTTGTAAAAACTGATTATTATATTCAAAGGGATCTTTATAAACTTGTCTATATATATATATATATATGTGTAATTTTTAAATATGATTAAAAAATGTATATTTTATAATTTGATTAAAATACTTATTTCATAATTTTCAATATAATATTTTTATACATTGAAAAATCTGCATGTAAAGTCTTTGACTAGCAAGATGATTCGTTTTCCTCCTATAGAGTAAGGTCGAAGGATATTACACGATGATTCACAATTGCGCACAAGGCAAGGAGTCATTGCTCGTGCGCAAGGTGGACTCGTAAGAAGTCGAGAGAGAAAAAAATTGACAACCTTGTTGCCGCTGATTTACAACGTGTGACGGACGAGGAACTTGTGCTATGCGCGCAAGCGAGTTACTCGAAGAATAGAGTTGCATTGGTATGTAGGCATCCCGTTTGCGAAATATCCTGCACGACGGCGCATTTTAAAACCTAGAACCCGTATGCGTTTATTACATACATGAGATATTGTGTATAAAAAATGGCATAAAGCAAAAATAAGCCCTTAATTATTCTTACGCTAATTAATGACTCTGAATTTTTATCTTTAAGGAGCAGTAAATATATGTAATTGTTTTGCATATGAATATTTTTTATTATTTTATTTTATTATTCTTTATTTTCCTATTTATTATTTTTTTATTATTTATACACAGAGAATTTTCTCTTCAAATTTACCGTGAAAATCATGGTAATCGTGAGATAATATGGTATTGGTTTCTCTGATTAAATATTTATCACAATAAAAAAATTAAAATTCACCCACAATAATATATAAAATACGTTCGATTAATTTTATTACGTACATATTAATATTTCTTAATAAGGATAAATTTTAAGAGAAAAATCTCTCCGCATACTATTATTAAATAATATATTTTTCATAATAAATTATATCTAAATAAATAACTGCAAGCATAAAAAATCTATAAGCTTAAAAATGAAAATTCGTGTTTTAGAAATCAAATAAATAAGATATTCTAAAAAAGGAACTTGCGACAATTTCTAAACGAATTATCGGAGAATGAAATCTGGAGAGACGGCGAGTTAAAGAAGCTGCGCGAGTGTTGCAATTACGATTATATTTATATATATATATTAACATATAATATTTTTTTCTCGCTTTATTCGCGCTAGAACCGACCTGTTTACGTGGCTGCGACTGCACGGTCGAAGTTTAATGAAGATCTGGGTCACAGACGGCGTTTGGAATCCTTGAATCGTACGCTCGCGCGAACTCCCGCGATAGAAGAGAGGAAAAAAAAACGTTCACCTATAGCGAATAGGAGTCTCTCGTTCCAGAAGTCGTTGCCGGGGATAGCCTCGATGTATATGCATGCCATACCCCTGGCACTGAGGTCGGCGCCGTTTCTCGGCGACTTAAAGAAGGCAGACAAGGATTCCGCGCGTACTTGCCACTCGCTGTAGGTCACAGTCAAGTTGCGCTTTTCTTTACATTAAACCTTACGTAATTTTGTGGAATAAGTCAGGTTTCGCGCCCCCAGTCGGAAATTCCGAACGACGACGCACATCCGCGAATGTATAATCCGGGATCGGACAAAGCGAACACGTCGCGAATTGACGCAACGCGTTATTTGAATAGAATGCGGAATAGCTAGAAGATATTTACATCTTTCGGAATGTCGTTTGAAACAGAATGTATTCTACAATTGGAATATATATATCAAGTAATATCTGTTTTTTTTTTTTTTTTTTTTTTTTTTATATATATATTTTTGTAATAATTTCTGGAATAAAATGTATATAATAAAAATCGTTAATTAATATCTATGTAAAAATATTTAATTATATTTCTAATTTAGCAATAATGTGAAATAAGAATTACACCAGACATGATTTCATGATTATCTCCTCTTTATATAAATATAGTAAAAAATGATGAAGTAATTTGTTCAGCAAATAATTCATAGAAATGCTTTATCTTATATGTATCACCGTGCTTGTGCTATCGTAGAAAAAGTTCTAGATATTTGCAAGAGTAATAGTCTCGATTGTCAATGACGACGAAAATGATAAAGTATCAGCGACTTCATCTTCATTTTCGTTCCGTGACACGTAACGATTTTCTATGTAGTTTCTCCTATAACTTCGAAAAAAAATCGCGCACGTAAAGACATCGTTACATAACAATCGACTTTAAGGTTTTCAGCACGAAACCCGAGATTTTATCACCCGCCTGCTCTACATTTTGCAAGGAATATAATTCGGTACGGCGTATTACCCATTACGACATTCAGGCCGAATATTCTACGACAATTTCAAGCGAAGCGGCAACGCAATTCTATTTGCGTTTTTATCTTTCGAGAAACTATGGAAAACAATTTTTTCATCATCCTTTAATTAAAAAAATTTTTTTTTTTTTCATTTCATGCACAGTTGAAACATTTTTGTTAAATTTAACACATGTCCCAAACGGTCCACAGAAATGTTTGTGTTAATTTGACACAATATGGATATGTTAAATGGAGACACAAATATTGTGTTCATATTTTAGCACACAATAAATGCAAATAAATTTTGTGTAAAATTAACAAAAAATTTTATCATCTCCACTTAGATTATAAAATATAAAATTAATTTTTTCTGTAAATTTCAACAGAAAATCTTGTCACTAATAAAGCAGAACACATTTATTGTGTAAAATTAAAAATAGATGCACATTGTGTTATTTTTACATTTTTTCAGTTTTTTTTAATAATTTAACATTTAATATAAATTTAACGTATAAGACGGGCAACAAGAGCCAAATCGCGGATGACAATGCGTTATCCTAACGAAACTAAATAATTTTCCGTTAGAATTAAATACCGGTGCACAAGGCATTTAACATTTAAGTTCAATTAACAGAACAGTAATATGTTAAATTAACATACGAAATTTTTACATTAAACACAAATTTTTCTCCTGTGTTCCGATTCATGCATGTTGATGCATAATATGATAAATAGTTATAGACAATCCTTTTGATAAAATGGAATTGTTAAATGTGGCAATCGTCGCGCTGCCGACAAATTCACATGTTCTTCGACATTGCGAAAGTGTTTGCCTTATCCGTCTGTAAAAAAATCCGGACTTTCAATCGCAATCCTTGACTAAAGGCGCAAAGGGCAATCGAGCCACG